AGTGACACCACCCGCATACAGTTTCACCATCCATTTCGCCACACCCCTTATACGTTTCGTGCCCCCATAGGGAGCTCTATCGAAGGCCCCAGTGGCAGCGCCCGCATGCAATTTCCCCCTCCATGTCGGCGAATCCCTCGCATGCGTCGTGGTCCCCACATTGAGCTCCACCAGAGGCCCCAGCGGCAGCGCCCGCATGCAATTCCACCCCCAGCCCGTTGAACCTTCACACGCTTCATGGCCCCATTGGGGGCTCCGCCTCAGGCCCCAATGGCAGCGCCCACATGCGGTTCCACCTCCCGTTTCCGCGACCCCCTCGAACGTTTCGTGGCCCCACATGGAGCTCCACCGAAGGCCCCAGCGGCAGCGCCCGCATGGCGGCCCCGCCACGTTTCGGTACACACTTCACGCGCTTCGTGGCCCCATAACCATAAGGAGATCCACCGACGGCAATGCACACAACGACGGTACCCACCACTGCATCTGGTTGGACCCTTCGACAAACAAATTTAAGACGAGTGTTCGCGGTGCTAAGGCGAGAACCACATTTTGAAAAAGAGCCGCTATCAACCCGTGCTCAGCGGATTGGTGCATATATGTTGGCCAAATGTCGCAGGGAAAACACACCAACAAAATATACACAAATCGAAAACGCATTGGAAAAAATATCCGCCAATCCCCCAACAAAATGCCAGAATCGACAGAGACTTTCGCCTGGAGGAGGGGGGGCAGGACCGCGGACACCAATGCTGATACCAGTGGGGGAACAACTTGCGAGAATCGGAGAAGAGGGGGGGGGGGCGACGACAGCGTCGCAGAAACACTCTGCACCAACGTCGCGACAGTGGAACACCGTGCCACACCGCACACCTGGGCTGCAACTCGGCGCCCCCTGTAAGCTCCCAAAAATCACAATGATCAGCCGAATGCATCACCTGATATATTGCAGGCTCCCACGTGAAGCCCGTGCGAATGTTTCAAACGAATGTGCGCAGCGTTACGGCGAGATCCACATTTGAAAACCACCCGCCCTCAATTCGTGAAACGATCTCAATTGTTTTAACGAATGCGCGCGGCGCCAAAGTGAAAACAACATGTTGAAAACCACCCGCCCTCCAGTTGCGGAACTGCTTCCTTGTTTTAAGCTTCAGGATCATCGATGGTAAAGAAGTCTCAAGCAAAACGCCCGGCCCCCCGCCCTTCCGACTGGCCTCGAGGTGCGACAGGGAGGAACTATCTAGAATCTAGAAGGACAAGGAATTGAGAAGGATAAGGAGGAGGAGAAGGGGAAGCAGGAGGAGGAGGAAGGAGGCGGTGTAAGGCGCCGATCTTCGGATGAAATTGCCCACAGGCTCGAGGCTTGGAGGAGAGACGGGGGAAAGAGGATGCGGGTGCGGAGGGGGAATGGCGGAGGAAATGGGACGAGGGGCGAGGGGGGTGAGGAGAGAGAGGTTCCCGTGACTACAGGATGGGCGAGCCTCGAGTGCACCTGCACGTTGCCAATTTAGTCCTCGACGGCCCCTCTGAACGCAGGGAGGCCGATCGATTCGAAAAAGGCCTGCTCCTCCCAACGAGCAGGGCGACCACTTCTCCTGGTAGTCGCGTGCCCTTGTACTCCGCAATCAGTGCTTGCACGAAAGGCTTCCTAGCAGAGATTGAAAGATTTGTCGAAAGTTCCCGGCCGATTTCGGTAGGCGGCCGAGCTCATGGGTTTCTGGTTCTGGGTTCCCCGGTTCCCGGTTGCTGGTTCTGGGCCGATGTCGGTGGGCGGCGGGGTTCCCGAGGTTCCAGTTTCTAATTCCCGGGTTCCCAAGTTCCTGGTCGACCTCACTTTCGATTTCACGATCGATCTCACGGTTCTTCACTCAATCGATCTCACTTTCGACCTCACTACCGATCTCACTTGATCTCGTTATCGATCTCACTATCGACATCACGATCGATCGCATAATTGATATGACTATCGACCCCACTATCGATTCCACGATCGATCTCACGAACGATCTCACGATCGATCCCAGGATCGCTCTCAGTATCAGTCTCACGATATCATCATCGAGGTCACTCTCGATCTCACCATACGCCTCATTCAATCAATCTAATGACCGGTATAAATTATGGATATCACTCTCGATCTTCCTACGATCTCACGGTCGATCCCACCATGGATCTCACTATCGATCTCACCCAATCGATCTCGCTATCGATCTCACTATCGATCTCACTACCGATCTCTCTCAACCGATATCATGATCGATTTATTGATGCCACTCAATCGATACGACTATCGTCCTCACTATCAGTCTTACTATCGGCTTCGCCACCGAGCTCACTATCGATCTCACGATCGATCTCACCCAATCGACCGCACTACCGATCTCACTATCGATTTCACTATCGATCTCACGAGCGATCTCGCTCAGTCGATCTCACTATTGATCCGACAATCGATCTCACTATCGCTAGCATGACATAGCAAAACATGTAGCACAGCACGGGACAACCCCCGCGCCACGGGACACCACGGAACACCACGGAACACCACGGAACACCACGGGACACCATCGGGACACCATCGGGAAACCATCGGGACACCATGGGGACACCATCGGGACACCACAGGGACACTGCTGGCCAACCCACGGGACAGCAGCGTTTGGTTCGGTTTCGCCCTGGCAGCGGCTGGTTCATTCCTCTCGCCCACCCACGCAGCTCCGCCTCGCCCGCACGCACGACACGAATGTGAGTCCGGAACGGATTTCCCGGTGGGGGGGGTCTCCGTCTCACTGCAATCTCACCCCCCAACTCCAGTCTAGACATAGATAGAGGGAGAGAGAAAAAAAAAGAGAGAGAGAGAGAACGCAACAGCTATGGTAAAACAATACCGAGAGAGGTGGGGTAAAGAGACACAGGGAGAGAGAGAGAGAGAGAGAGAGACACGTGCGTGTATGTATGTAGATGTGTGTTTGTATGCACAGGCAGTAGTTAGATTGATACAGTTAAATGTGTACAACAATATTTAAGACTATATATATGTATAGAACAGAGGCGCAGAAAAGAGAGAGAGAGAGAAGTAGAGAGACAGATCCATATACTATACATATAAAAATAAAGAGAGGAAGAGATATCAGCTAGACGGGGCTGGAACGTATCTTCAAATTGGACTATGGCGGGAAGAAATCCGATTGAGGCACCCGCGAAACATTAAAAAAAACACTGGTTGTGGTTTGTTCGTGTGTCAGTTGTCACACCGCCATGACCCCGGATGCCACTCCTGAGGCGCTGCACCTGGCCGTCGCTCGCGCCATGAGCTGTCGCCGCGGCGCCCGCGAACCCACGCCTGCCAAAACGGAGCAATGAGACTTACTGGGCCAGGCGAGATGTATCCATACCCATCGCCTGGGACCCAACTTCCTGGGACACCAGCGGGCGGGGGAGATGGACATACTTGCCCCCCCCCCCTCCTAGGGCCCGAATATATCCAGATCCCCGGCCTGGGGACGTCCCCGAAGGTCGATCCCCCAGGTGGTGGGTATGGATAAATCTCTGCCTCGGATACTGGGCTGGACCAAGCCCAGGCTTGATGCTGACTCTGCCGCATAGGTTTCGCGACAATGCAACTTGGCATAGACCTCGCCATCGTCGCCGCCTCGCTGAACAACAAGATCACGG